ACTCGCGGCCCCGACCTGCCAGATACGCCGTCAGTGACCGTAGGAGCGCGCGCGGCGCGGCGCTGGACGCGAGGCCGCAGGGAGGCACGCCGCACGCCGACTTCGCTCGCGTTGGGTCGGGGTGGGCGGGTGGTTGTGTCAAATGCATGGCTATCCACTCCTCCTTGGCACTTTTCCTCCGGCAAATCGTTACTTTCAGCCGCCGTGGTTCTTGGTAGGATACATTAGAGCCGCGTCAAGGGTAGGAGGTAGATGCATGGAATGCCTGGGTATTCGTATATTATTGGCGAGTCGAAGAAAGTTAGTTCCGCGAATATCTAATTAGTTTACGATTCTCGTTAATCAATAGAAATACAAAATAGATAAGCATAACCTCTACATTATTCTTAAAATAATAGAGAAAAATGAAAATATTTCATCAACCATTCAAATGATAAAATTATTGGTTCCAAGACGAGATGGATACGATCTTGATTCCGAACTGCGTGAATTCTTTCATTACGACCCACAGACTAATTGGAGCAAGATGTGAGATTAGCACTTAATATTATCTCTTGGCACTTTCAACATGTTATTACAAAATCAGACATGTTCGCTCTGTATTATTGTCTGAGAAGGTTCCTTGACGAATTCTCACGTATTACATAGATTATAATACTTTGCTAATTGTTTTATTGCTTGTCGATTACATTACGCGTGTTCGTAATTCACTTTCTTAGAATGACTATAAGGAAATAGGAAGATAAATTAAGGAAACTGGGTGAAATAATTAAGTAGTGTCCATTTAAGAACGACCACAACATGTATAGGCGTTTGCAATTTTTGTAAAGAAAAGGAAACTATTGATATACAATATTTCACACGGTTCATTTTCATGGTCATTTCATTTTCTTTGTATTAAAAGTAATTACCCAAATACATTTACGATAGAATGTCACTTGGCAAATTATCAAGAAAGACGGTAACATCGATCTCAAGAAACAATTGTCAATATAAAACATGGTAATAGCATTACGTTCCAATTCCCACCTGTCACTGGCTTTTAAATTCATGAAAACAGCTACTTCCTATGCAAAAGCTGTGTCATTCGCCTTTGTCATGTCTACAGGAATTGCCCGAAGAAATACGTAATGTACATTACAATTCGCCAATATTAAACGGAATGGCATTACTACAGGGGAGCAATAATCAATGTGTATATGCAGCACAATAAAACAACAAATGTTCGTAATTAAAACCTGTAATATTGAGAGCATGGAATATTGATCATATTAAAATTACTAATCACTAAATTTATTTTTATCTGCCTTCTTCTGTACTAAGCAGTTTAACAGATACAGATTGTGCTAGAGTAACGTTCGCAATAAACACTTATTCCTGAAAACCTTAAGTCTTCCCCAGAAACCGCACTCCTCTTCATCATGGAAATCCCCTACTGAAGTATTAGATGTCTACCATTAACATCTTCCCACTTCCACGTCGAACGTGCCAAGTACTTGAACTAATCATACGTCTGCCCCGCCCGGTCGCGTCAACTTGTAAAAACAGTAGCACAGAGCGCAGTGATCTCGTAATTAGCCGCCTCCTCCATTCCAACGGCGCCTCTGCCACGAGCCGACCACGAGCGACTCGGCTCCTCGCCACGCTACTCACCACGCTACTCGCCACGCTACTCGCCACGCTCCTCGCCACGCTCCTCGCCACGCTCGTCGCCACGCTCGTCGCCACGCTCGTCGCCACGCTACTCGCCACGCTACTCGCCACGCCACGCTACTCGCCACGCTACTCGCCACGCTACTCGCCACGCTACTCGCCACGCTACTCGCCACGCTACTCGCCACGCTACTCGCCACGCTACTCGCCTCGTACGAAGTAGGCGTTCGAGAGATATCAAGCCGTGTTTCGAGTACGAACCCATGAAACACGAGAGTAGTATTTTGGTAATACGCACTGCGCGGGTCACGATAAAACTGTGTGCACTCCAAACCTGAGTTCGTTAAATTAGTACCCGCTGAGGAGGCTCAGTCATCAATTGATGTCATTGCAATGCCGCTGACTTGAAAGTCCTAGGGTTCATGTCTAGTCGGTGGCAAGGTTTTCGATGCTAGACAGATACGCATGTCGAATTCAATCGCTGTCTGGAGAATAATTTTTGTGGCTGGCCGCACTCATCGATATTTTTTCGTGGTTTCTTCTAAAACCAGACGAATGTCGTAGCAGTATCATAACAAACGGGCCACGGACCGCGCGTGATATTTCCTCCCTCTTCCTTGTCATAAACAGTCTTAACACGTCTATCACTACTGGTAAATACTACACATTGAAATTATGTGAATTATTGGGTGTCGTTTGTATAATGGCTGTTTTGGAAATTCGAGGTATTTTTCCTTGAGCATTGAAATTTGAGGTAGCTTTCCTTGCTTGAATATAATTACAGGAATATGCACATTTGAAACGAATGATGAAGTTTCTTATTTGGTCCTTTTCTTCGTCTTCATAACATTTCATGTTTAATCATGAATTTCCATTTGTGTGCCTTATCCGCATTACCGAGGAATGATTGTGGCGATTACTCTAGTTTAAGGAGTTCTAGCGCTTTTCCGATGACATTTACCACGTTTAGATAAGTTCAAAATATCGATTTGGATTAATTACCAGACGGAGGTGTCTCAATTTCGCGGCGATGGTGTAACGGTTAGATATACCGAACTGTTATACCCAAAGTTCGCGGGTTCAAACCCGACCGAAGCCGACGATTTGCACGCCTTCCTTCGGAGGGGTAGTAAAGCCGGCTGTCCCATGTTAGTAGATTTACTTGCATGTAAAATATCCTCAAGCCTAAATGACGCCTCTGAGTTAAATTCAAATCGCCTATTCGTCGCCCAAGAAATACCTCCTTTCTCTGCTAGTTGGTGAAAGGAGCGTAGCGAAATTTGCGTGGTAAGACGGAAGAGCAGGCCTTATGGCTTGATTCTCGCCACGTAAAATAAGGCTTGAATTCAATTCAACTCCCGTGCATTATTGTTTTTATCAGCAACTGATTTAGGTGATGGAAGATGATTTTCGGAAATACATTTTGGTTTTCTGAAAGCACCCACTGTCAAAGTGCAACACAAGTTTCAAAATAGCACGTTGGCATAGTGGTTGTTTCTAATCCGCACGTCAGCCACATCGGCGGTCTCTAACATTATGGTAAGATCACTCCTACGTCACCGCGCGTGTGCAGCCCCGCTTTTCCCCCGCGAGGCCCAACTCTTCACAGCAGGTAGTACATGCTCAGCATTCCCAGGCATGCCTATATTCTATTATTCGCCTCGAGTCTACTAGCACGCAACTTACTATGTATTTGTATAATTAGACGGTTTTGTAAATTGTAAGCATCACTCATGTTATTTTCAGTTTATGTAAATGGAAGACTGATTTTCAATTCTCTACCAAACGTGTGATGTTGCTTCAATTCGAGAAATTACTTATTCGCTGGATTCACATTATGCCATTGCAGACAATACAATTCATCGACTTCATTAATTCACACGAAAAAGAAGCGTTGAAAATGATCGATAGACGATAGGGCGTCATTTCCTTCATTGCATGTGACGTTCAATACGTTCGCAATTCTTTGGCGGCTTCTACACAAAGGACCGCTGATACACGACCACGCGTCACGACTCGCCTCCAGATAGCAGCGGATCTCTCCGAGAGTGCCAATTGTACCCTTCGCACGAGAACGCCCTGTGCGAACTCTTGGAAATTGGCGGAATACAGAATACAGTTCCAAGGCGCGATTACACGGACAAAATTTTACATCTAACAAACCAAGCAAAACTGGTCAAATCTAGCTAAAAAAAAATCTCCAAGATGTTTCCTGCGACCATTGATTTTTTTTCAACGTTTAGTCTATATTTATTGCAAAATGTATTTTGCCTAAGTAAAAGTGTAGTGACAATGATATACTTGCAGACAATGATTTATAAATTAGTCAGTGTAAACATGCGACGATGTATTTAAATTGATTTAAAGCTACGCATCACTGTAGGAAGAGTATAATGCTTACGATGTCAACAAGCGTTCATTTATTAGTTAGTGTGTGCTTTCCTATTAATCTGTTTGATTGCAGATAATGCCTTGAGGAAAGTGTGCTGATATTCTGCCACTAGTCTACACCTTTTTACTGCGTCGATTTGGCTCAGAATAAAAATAAGAATCAATGAGTAAAATATATTCCTGAAGAACATTTTTCTAGCACATCTTTATTTTTCGTGATAAATCAACATACAATCAGTGTCTTCAAAAATGAAGACGGAGGGTGAAGGCGAATTCTTTTGGAAAATGTCTAACACCGGTGGGCACCAGTTTAGCTTTAATGAACGTACGCTAAATAAAACACACTAAAGAAATAATAAGAAGAGTTGAGAAGGTATTACTTATTGATAATGAATTTAATGATAATACCTACTCTTCGTACAAATTAATGATGAAAAGTTAAGAAAACAACATCAAATTGGCTTTCAATATCTTGCAATTCAACACAATTACTTTCATTATTTGATATTTACATACGAAAGTATTTAAAAAAGCATTCTTATAATACATATTTATAAAAAATTAATTTTAGAAATTATTTAGTGCAGATATACCATCCTTGAAATGTATTTAATTCCTCGACGAAAACCTTCGTTCTCGAACATCGCACTTTCCATGTAACTATTAGACAGGTAACGATAAGTTTGCGTCTCAAACAGCCTAAATACATAGAGCCTGTAGTCACACATGTGACTTATCCTTTTAAAGACAGACATGTTTGCATTCGTAAATCGGTGATAAGATATCTGCTAAACCCATCCGCT